ATAAACAATGTAATAAAATTTGTTTTTAAACCACGAAAAAAGGAGATGATTATTCAGGGTTTTTTTTTCTAAATTATAAAATAGTGTTTTCGATAATTGGAAACTGATAAAGAAAGCAGGGATGACAGACAATAGCAAAACCACAACGACCGAAAAAAGTGACAAAGTGGATTTTTCCACGCTTTCTATGCGTCAAATATGCAGAATTCCTTCAAAAAAATCATCTCGGAAAACTAAAATAGTCTCGAAAGAACCCTTCAATCGATATGTCGACGAGGAGTGTGTCGGCGAGATAAGTACTGAACCATCAAACGAAGAGACCGCCAGCGAAGTTGAGAAAAAGCGTGTTGTAGCTAAGCCACGCAAATCGAAGAAATGGGACAAACAAGAAATACTAAAATTGTATACTGGTATCATGAAATATGGCGCAGACTTTGGCCTTATCGAATTGATGTTCGACGACAGAACACGGAAACAAATTAAAGCAAAGTTTAAAGCTGAGGAACGTGTCCGCCCTAATATGATTGAAAGAGCTCTTAACGCACAACAAACAATGGACGCAGCTCTTCTTAATGAGACGCTCGATCTTATTACAAAACAAACTCCAGACGAAAATGAAAACGAAGAGCAAAGGAAAAATTAATTTGTATGTTATGTATTTCTGTTCAATAACTAATAAGTTTTATATTTTTTATTAGTATTTAAAATGATATAAGAAATACAGAAAAAACGTCAAAGTCAATCAGTCATCTTTTTCGATTTGAGGGGTTTTCGATCTCACAACGGCATAGTGATGCTCTTTGTATATGAAAAACACGGTCGCACCGATGACAACGGAAGAGATGGCAATGATCCAACCCCACTTCACAAGAGGAGGTGTTGGAATGTCTTTATACATGGGATATCCCCACTTGAAGCACAAAACACTCTCAAGTAATAAAGTGAGGCCAAGAATCCATGTACCAGAACCAATGTCTTTTGTGTTCTTGTCAATGATGTACTGATAACACTGTCTGAATACAAGAGGGGCCTGAAGAGCTAATATGGCAACACGTAGATAATTTAAGTAATGAGACGGCTTCAACCAGAGTTCAGCTTTGAGGAAGAACGAATTTAAGTCCAAAAGCTGGAAGAAAAGAATCAAGATAGAAACATAGATGAACCGCTTCCAATGTGTGAACATCCCCCAGTGAAACCTTGTCCAACTTTTTGGAGTAAACTGGCCAATAACACGATACACTTTGCCTTTTGCATTTTTCATTTCGGAGACGCCAGAAAAATTGTACTCTTTTAACTCGAAGTAACGTAACGTTTTAGAAGCCAACCAAATACCAATCCAATTGCATCCAAATACATCTAGAATGATATGATCCCACCAACACTCTTGGAAGTTAGGGAGTATATGTTGGAAAGTAAGTTCCATGAACTCAAAGAGAATTGAATTGAACCAAGTTAATCCGACATCACGACAGACCATGGCACGAGCCCACCACCCGATGAAATGGAAGAAAACAAACTCGTCAAATAAGACGTTTTTAAAGTTATTCCATTTGCACGGGAGCTCTGGGGTATACAACCGACAATCAACCGCATACTCTCGCTCTGGCAAGGGTTTACCAAGAGATGGGTCCAAGTTCTTGAGCCACTGGCGGACAACATCGATGTCTTGGAATAACAAAAAGGAGATAATGAGGAGGTAACACAACCCA